ATGTGACCTCAAACACATAGATGGGTGCTGGGGCTGTTACTAAAATGGGGAGTCTGGGAGGTACATGCCAGGAATCGAATTCCAGAGTAAATGGTGGACATGAGGCATTTTTAAGGTGCCATTTGTCATCCAAGTTAGGACTTCAAAGAGACACTGGTATTTATGAGACTGGGGCTCAGGTGAAGGAGCCGGACTAGAGACACACGTTAGGAGTCGTCATTCTTAGCTGGTGTTCACAGCCTTGCATGTGAATTAGATCATCTTGAGAGGTGCAGAATTAGGCTGTGGGGGGCAGGGCTGTGCCTGGTTTGGAGGAAAGCCCAGACCATGCAGCTTTGCTGTGTTAGTCAGCGGTGTTTGCGATTTTTCGACTAATGGCGTTTATCCTTAAGGGGCCGGGCGGTGGGCAGGGACAGCCAGGAAGAAATCTGAAGGGAGGGTCGTGGCTATGTGTGTGTCTTGGGAAGGTGCAGAGGCTGCAGGGTCCGGGAGGGTAGACTTCTTAGAAGCTGGATTTGGAGTGGGGACAAGGTAGTCACACTCACCTGTGAGGGAGGGAGGGAGGCCTATGGAGTCCCACGCTACCGGACTTGCTTTCCCATGAACAGAAGGCAATCATACAAAGTATCTGAGGTGAGAAGGGATGGGCGCTGTGAGGGGAGCCAACCTGGAGAATGGTGCTTGGAAAGTTCTCGAATACTCTCCCTGCAAAATAGAGTAAAAAATACCCAGACTCTTAAGAACATTGATAGTGACTTGGGAGGAGGCAGTTGTTTTTCTGGCCTCCTAAGGGTAAAGCATGTATCCGGGGATACACAGAAGATACGGGCAGTCTGTACCGGGGGCTTGATCCTTACCGGGGGAACAGTGTAAGTTCAAAGGGGGAGAAGGGCAGCGGAGGGCAACTAGGCAGGCCCCGTGTCAGGTACCAGTCGGCCGCCCTACTTGCGTGTTGCATTCACATCCATGCCTCCCAGGTGGGAGGTGGCAGCCCCCTTTTGCGGATTGGGAAGCCTTCTCAGAAGGGTTCAGAAATTTGTCCGTTTAGTGGCTAGTAAGTGCTGTAGCCGAATTCAAGCATGGCCTTGTCAGACTTCAAGAGCATGTACTCTCTATTAATTCTGGTACCTCCCTGTTGAACCTGGAATGGTGAAGTGGGTCAGTTTTGGAGTATTTCAGAAAAAGTATGATTTAAGTGCCTCAGGACTGTTTCACAAAGCTCAGTGTTCTCTGTTGGTTCGGAAGCACCGCAGTGCTTTTCGCCCCGCAGTGCTTTTCGCCCCGCAGATGTTAGGTTAGGTCTTACTCCTAGGTCGATGACGTGGTTGCAAATGACCTACAGGTGCAAAACCACACTTAGCAGCTTCTGAAGGGAAACTCTCCAGTTCTCCCTTGATTGGCTTTCTTCCACGGGCTGTAGCTGTGCTGCAGCATAAGCCTGAGCTTTACTTATGGAGTGAGGGTTTAATATCCAAATTTAGCATAAAACGATCAGATGAAGAAAATCGACGTTGACAATTTATTTTTGGGTTTCATTAGTCAAGATATACTATCAGTTAATGGCCCATATAGCAAATGAAATTGAGTACAGGACATTGCATTTCTTCCTTTCTATTTAGTGTTCTCTTACAGCATAAGGCTGCCTGCTTTGGAACATCAGCTACACCACCACGGCACCTATCAGTGTGTTGGTGTGATTGCATTTACACAGTGCATGTAATCTGGGCTTCCTCAGCCTCAAAAACTCCAGTGCATAATCACGGGCTGTAGCCATCTCTTAGTCTCGTAAATACTTCTAAAATTATATGATGCCAGAAAAGAAAGGAGAGAGACAGAGATTGTCTTTATCAAAGTTCCTTTCAATT